AAAGGGAGGTTGGGTGGAGGGATGGAAGGAAGGCAACAGAAGGGAAAAGAGCCTGACGGCCACCAAGCAAGGGGTAGAAAGGCCTGACTGCAGAGTTGCTTCACTCCTAGGAAAAGTATTCTTAGCCTTGCCTCCCAGTTCTGTGTTCATCACCTGGGCAGCTCCATGGGGCCAGTCTAAAGGGTTCTGGCCCTGAGCTGCTAACACGTTTGTGTAGGCAGTCCAGTTCTACTCCCAGCTTGCAGACCCAGAGGCTTGGGAGGTGATGGGATTAGCTCATGTCGAACAAAAGCATGGGGTGGCCGTTAAGCTGGGCTAGCCATAGTGACAGCCCCAGTGATACTGGATGGTAGGTCTTGACTGTGAGTTGTCCAGGTCCTTGGCATGTTCAAAAAAGAATTCAACGAAGTGCCCAAGGAAAGCAACAAAGGAATGAAGCAATGAAAAACAAACAAAGCGACAGAGGAAAGAAGTCACGAAAGCACAGATTTCGCAAAGTGAAAGAACAGTTCATAGAAGTGGGAGCAGGCTCAAGCAAGCCCCTCAAGAGCACCCTTTCATTAGGGTTTTTATTAAGCCAAAAAATCTGGTAACACCCCTAGATGCCTTTCAGAGGCCCAACCCCAGGAAGGATTGGCCTGCAACCAATCAGAGGCTAAGATGGAGACCCTGCCCGCGGTCAGTCAGAGGCTGAAGTGGAAACATCTGTCTTGTTATCACAGAGTGAAGATGTGGCCTGCACACTGCCCAGTCCTGCCCAGACTGACTGCACTGCGTTTCCTTTGCTTATGCCTTAACCCTTGGTTGCCCTAATTCCCTATTTTCCTGTCTCAGAAGGATCATCCAGACTGATGCGAGCCCTTGTATAAATCAAGCCTGAGAGGGGCCCCTGGTCCCTTTCTGGCCCTGTGAGACACAACCATACATGAGAGACAGCAGCAACCCCAACAGGAGGGCCTGCCTGGAACCAGGGATCCATCTGTGCCCGAACTTAGATTGTGGCCATCTTGGGTGCAGGCTTGTGAGTGAGCTGAGTTTCCCAAGGATCGACCTGCCTGGTTCTTTCACCTTCTAACAGTCCAGGCCCTCCCCGAGTGTAACAAGAGTCTAATCTAAGGCAGTTTGTGACTCAGGCAGTAATTCAGAGGCACCCTAGAAAAACAGGAGTATCAGACTGCAGTGTTGCTTTAATTTGGGCTTGGGGGCAGAACTTTGGGGCCTGGGTTCAGCTGGTTCTTTGAGATTCTAGTTAACTGGATTGAGAAGAGGCACATTCTGCATGTTCTCCAACGATCAGCTAGATCTTGATGCTATGCTGTTCAGTTCAGCAAATTCTCCCCGGGAGTACACACTGCTCCAGGTATCTGGAGGATAGCAGATCACACTTGCCTCATGTACCACACAGACCCATGCACTGGCCCCCTTCTCCCCATTCTCCGCATCCCAGGACCTCCTGCAGAACTTGGCACTTCAGGAAGTAGATCAGTCCCCAGCAAACTCTGTGTGTACAGTGCCAGAGAGTAAATCATTTGGGCTTTGAAGGCCAAAAGGACTGCACCATTCTGTTGGTGTAGGATGAAATTGGACATAGACAAATCATGAATGAATGAATGAGTGAGGCTGTGTTCCCATACAACTTTATTTACAAAAACAAGCTGCAGGTTGGATTTGGCCCCAAGATATGGTTTGCCAACGCTTGGTCTAAATTAACCAGAAATACTGTTTTCTATGAGAGAAAGAACTTGATAGAATTGTACACTAATTGTTCTTTCATCTTAATGCGCTATTTGATTTAAACACTTGTTAATGATGGTTTTTAATTGCCATTTTTGGTAAATGTAATGCATTACATTTTAATCTTTTTCTAATTGGCTAAAAACAGGAAAAGGCAATCTCAGATCTTTCCTACCAGGTAAGGCATTTGGTTTTTTTTTAGAAATTGATGAATACGTTTTTGCTCACAAATAATAATTGTGCATATTTATGTGGCACAATGTGATGTTTTGATCCGTGTATACATTGTAGAAAGGTCAAATCAACCTGATTAACTTATCCATCATCTCACCAACTTATATATGTATTTATTTTGTGTGTGTATGTGGAGGTTAAAAATCTATCCTTTCAGCATCTGGTCTTTTAAGTCTGATTTGCTAAGTAACTGCACCGGAAATTTCTAATGGAGCTGTGCACTGGGTGAGTCAGCTTGCAATCGTTCTTTCTGTCTTTGTTTGTACTCTGAAGAGAGTGTGGACTTTCCGGCTTGTCACCCACTCTCTTTAAATCCACCAGCCCTGCACTTTTCAGGGTTGCCACCTACACAGTTCTGAAGGCATGCTCAGGGTGCCAATCAAGTGTCACCAAAGCAGAGCAAAAAGCCTGCCTGAACCATCATGAGAAGCGTTGTGTTAAAGCCTGAAGTGTGGCACTCCTCACTTGGCATTAATAGTTAAATCTAAGCTGAGCGTTTTTGTTCCAGAAGAGACAGCCTCTCTGTTGTTGGCATGAGGTCGGTGCAGTGTTTGCATGGAGGTGCGAAATCATTGCCATAAACCTTGGATGAAGCGGCATAGGGGAAAGTTCTTAGCATCAGCAGGTTGGTAAAGTAAGTCAGTAACTAACATTAGAGAGAGCTTACTGCATCCTCAGAACTGCTCACTGAGAACTGAGTAGTTTGGGGGCAGGCGACTCACGTTCAAGCCTTTGAGCACTGTGACCTTGGGCAAGTCATTATATTTTCTCTGAGCCTCTCTTTTTTAAAGTGTGAATATGCTGGATTGATTTCAAAAATGTCCCCACTTTCCATCCCTTCCTTGTGTCCTTTCCATTGTGACTCTTCAGCTCCATAAGAGGCAGAGTCTAACTCTCCACCCCTCAAGATGGAATGCTTCATGGCTCCCTTTGTCTAACAGGATGCATCGTTCTGCCCAGCCTCCTGAGCCTGGTGCCCTTTGCTGGCTCTCACTCCTTGGTCTCTGCCTGCAAACAAGTCTGGGCTGGCCTGTTGGGAGAGGAGGCAATGTGTGGAGGAGAACAGAGGCGTCCCAGCTGACAGTGGGCCACATTGCCAAAGCACACCCTCTCACTGACCCCCAGCTTCCCAGACAGGAGCAACATGAGGGAACACAGCCCAAACCACAGTAACTGCCTGGCTGCTTTCAGCCGAAATTGCTGATCAGCTGAATCTTGAGCCAAATAAGTGGCTGTTTGAAGCTAGCAAATCTGGGGATGCTCTTCTTTGCAACAATAGCTGTTACACGGGTGCTGACTCTCCCTGTATCTCAGAATGTGGCAGGGAGCAAACGAGGCCTTGTGCGTTAGAAGCTTTGTGAATCCTAAGTAGTATACAAATATAAGTTGTCCATCGATTGCATACGTTTCTATCAGTATTGAGACCAGGCGGAGGATGCAAATCAATATAAACAGCCCTCACCTCCCCACCTCAATACATACAGGAGCTCACTTCTGTCTTCCTGATATCTCATCCATGTGTGATTCTCTCCAGCTTCACAGGTTCACCACTCGTGCACCCATCCCATGTTTACTGGCCACCTGCAGCATGCCAGGAACAGCTTTTGAGATTGGGGATGTTAAGGTAGGCGGGGTAGAGAGGCAAATCCATAAATGATTAAATCAGTGAAAAACAGCAGATGCAAAAAGGCGATGCAGAAAACAAGTGCTATGGGCAGAATGTTCGCTGCCCCCTCCTCATATGCCAAAGCCCTATCCCTGGTGTGACTGCATTTAGAGGTAGGACTTGTGAGGAGGTGACAATGGTGAAATGAGGTTGTAAGGGTAGGACCTGATCCCACAGGACCAGTGCCCTTGTAGAATGAGGAAGAAACACCAGCGCTCACTCCCTTTCTCCGTTTCCCGTAGGTGAGCACACAGCAAGAAGGCAGCCATCTGCAAGCCAGGAAGAGAGCCCTCGCAAGAACCAACCCCGCCAGAACCTTGGTCGTAGACTCCAGCCTCCAGTGTTTTGTTGTGGCAGCCTGAGTTGACTGAGACCATCAGTGTAGGGAGAGACAAAGAAGTCATTGGGTAGCTTCTTTTGGGCAGGTGGTCAGGTGACCATGAAGTGAGGAAAAATGAAGGGAAGAAGTCAAATAGAATCCACGAGAAGAATGTTCCAGAAAGAGGGACTGGCAGGACAAAGGCCCAGTAGTAAGCTCAGCTGGGGTGCACTCTGAAGGCCAGGGAAAGTGGTGGATTTGATTCTCCAGGTAGCAGGAGCCCACAGGAGCACCTGACGGAGGAGAGCTAGGGTGGAATTTATGTTAGGCCCTTCTGGCTGCTGAGTGGAGCCAGAGAGGAAGCCTAGGTGCCATTTAGGAGGCTGCTGCCTTGGGAGAGTTGTCCTTGGGAGAGACATAGTTGTGGTTTTAAGATGGAGAAAAGCAGGTCAATTTGGGATAGGTTTGAAGGTGGCTGCAGCAGGTTCTGTTGAGGCGCATTTAGGGATGTAAGAGGAAGAGAGGAATTGAGGCTGGTACCTGTTTTAGTGATGTATATGTAAGGCTATCAGAGTGCATGGGGCTTTTGTGGTTCCTAACCACAGGCTCTTTAACACCTGGAGGATGGTAACGCCAAAAGTTGGGAGCTGCTGAGCTCTTTGGGGTCCTGCTACTCTGTCATTGACTGGTGGAGCAGGTAGTGTTTCTTACCACTTATTTTTACTGCCAGGGATGGTGCCACATCCTACTAAATCACTGCCTTTAATTCATGGATATTTCCATGAAAGTGAAGTGAAGACGTTTATGGGCATTGATGATCTGTTGCTGTGCAAAAAGTCACTCAAACAGTTTCTATGGGTTAGGAATTTGGGATCAGCTTGGCTGGGTGCTTCTGTCTCAGGATCTGGCTCATGCAATTGCAGTTGGATGTCAGCTGGGGATGTTGCTCATCTAAAGACTCATGTGGGGCTGAGGATCCACTTCCAGTGTGACTTGCTATGTGGCTGGCATGTTGGTGCTGACTGCTGCATGAGGGCCCTGGCTCCTCTCCTTGTGAACCTGTCCACAGAGCTAGTTAAAAGTCCTTATGACATGGTGGCTGGCCTCCACAGGGTAAGTGATCCAAGAGACAGAGGTGAGGGCTGCAAGGCCTTTTATGACCTAGCCTTGGAGGTCACACACCATGATCCTGCCACATGCAACTTGTCACAGCAGGCCAGCCTCAGTAGTGCAGGACCAAATACCAGGAGGCAAAGTGACCACAGCATACTCTGATTTGCCTAAAAGGCAAATAACATTGTCTCTACTGGCTGGAAGGGCACTCAAGCCAGAGGTGACATTGTCTGTGGTGTGATTTATCCCCAAGTCACCAGCGGGGCTGGATTTGAGTCAGACCACCTGTGTCTGGTGCTATCTCTTCCCACTTGGGAGAGGTGTTTGGCCTGTCTCAGGGTCCTCGTCTGTGAAATGGGCTCTGACTCCTGCCTTGTGGTGTGATGTGAGGTTTGGGTCCAGTGCTGACACAAGCTGGTGCCTGGTAAGTGTTCTTCACTTCCCTCCTCTTTGTCAACTCGTTTGCTGTGCAGCACACGTCTTTGAGCACAAGTCTTTGAAACGAGTACATTGATAACTATAGACCGTTTAGTAACCTTTGCACCTTGTCTACATGAGAATTGAACTGGTGGATTCTTTTCTTGGCTTTCCCTGACACCTGTGGAATGGTATGCACTGGAGAGAATATCGTTTAGATCTACACATGGGCACACATGGGCACGTGCGTGACTGCAGGGTCAATACAGGCTAGCTCTGATTTTTGCCATCTTTCAGATATGTGTACAGATTAGATGTCAGTTATATAATTTGGTTTAAATTATTTGCGATCAGCTTTATGCTGTAGAATCTGGGAGCCACTAATGGTACTTGTCTTACGTGTTCCACAAATTAGTTTGTAGGTCAGGGTAAACAGTGACTCAATACCTGCTTGTCTCAGGTGGGCATTAGGTAAGTTTCTTTATAGCACTGTCATTAGTATCTCCTCCACGTGGGAGGTTCATTTTAGACACCATGGTTTGGCTTGTGTGGGTGAGATGGGGAATAACATTATATCTCCTTAGTCGTCAATGCCAGAATGGGTCACTATCAATAAAACGCGACTCCTGGGTGGCCAACTAAGCTTAAATAGGTGTCAGCCACACTCTGCCCACCACCCTACTCTTGGGCCCTGGCAACTCTCATTCCAACAGCCTCATAAAGCTGCAGCAGGGGACAAACAAGGTCTAATTGGCACTTTGGGTTTCACAGTGAATTGGTTGTGTTAGATACGGCTGCCAATAAAAATTCAGATTAAACATTCTGCAGCCATCTGTATGAAGCCTTAATGTTCCTGCCAAATATACTCATGGATCTAAAGATAAGCTATCTGATCCAGTGGCCTTGGCCATCTTAATTTACTTAATTATACAGTTGAACTCATTGTCAGACATGGGTGCAGTGATGAGAAGCCTGCCATGGAGTGATTCACATTTTGCTCATGAGTTGGGTAATAAGTGGTTCTGTACTGTGAGTTTGGGGTCTACAGAGCCTGGTTACAACAGGCAGGTGTCTTCATCTTATGAAATGGTCAGTATCATGCTCCCTCTTTCCTTAAGTGTTGTATAACTCAAAAGCTACCTCTCCGTAGAATACTTGGAGTTAATTGAATTGCTGTGTTGTAGTCGGCTCTACTGCCATAACAAAGTACCACACACTGGGAGTTTTAACAACAGGAATTATTTCCTACAGTTCTGGAGGCTGGAAGTCTGATCAAGATGTTGATGGGACTGGCTCTCCTCAGGCCTCTCTCCTTGGCTTACAGATAGTGTCTTCTCTCTATGCCTCTTTATGTCACCTTTCCTCTGTGTGTGTGTCTTAATCTCCTCTCCTTAGAAGTACACCAGGCCACCCTAAGGACTTCATTTTAATGCAACCCACTCTTTTAAGGCCCCATCTCCCAATACAGTCACATTCTGAGGCTCTGAAAGTTAGGACTTTAATGTATAAACTTTTTGGGGGACACAGTTCAGCCCATAGCACTCTGCTTAATCCATCCCAGCACTATATTTCAACCATGCAGAAAACCTTTTAGAATCTATTATTTAAACACACACTAAGGCTACTGCCCCCATATGTGGTTTCTGATGGGTCCTGTAGTTGGCTTGTCCTGGGGTTAGGAAGAGATGAATTCTGCCAAGATCCCAGAGAAAGGGATACCTGAGTGGGTAGGCCACACCCGTGCTAAAGTCGATGTGTGTCCAACCTCAGCATTTATACGAATAATTGGGAAATGTGTTAAAGCACAGACTCCTGGGACACCCCATGGCTTAGTGCATCAGAAGCTCTAGGGAAGGGTTCTAAAATTTTCATTTTCAGCAAGTGCTCAGATGCTGTGATGTGGGTCCACTACCAGTAATTTATGCCAAAAAAACCAGAAGAAGCCATGGCCAAGAAGGTCTTAAACAAGGGAAAGCAAGTGGGTTCTCTCCTCCTCAGGCACTGGCTTCACAGCTGAATGCTTTGTAACTATCGTTAGGAAAAAAGGACAACATGAGGGAGTTGTGGTAGATGCCAGACACTGAGCAGAGTTCAGCGCTGGCCCTTCAGCACCTGCCATGACAGCACAGACTCATCGGACTGTCAATTACCTACAGGTGGAGCATCCTTCTGTCTCAGTGGACGGTGAGCTTCGGTTTACTCTCTCCATGTTTGAGAGATTACAGGGGCTCCGCACTCTGACAGCGAAAGGAACATGGAGCAAACCCCACCCAGGGCTTTCCCTCAGAGGTCTGCTCTGCTCCATATTTGCTTGAAGATAAGACTTTGGGAAAATCTCATCCCCCACTGAACTTGAGGGTCCCTGGGTGTTTATCTCCAGGTGTAGCTAATATCATGAACGGAATTACAGCTGACCCTTTAACAACACGGGTTTGAACTTTGAAGGTCCACTGACATGCAGTTTTTTTCACACAAATGTGGATAACAGAGAGACAATGGTATTCAAAATTGTCTACTGTTTTCTAGAATTGAAGGGTGAGTTAGGAAGAGAATTGATTAGTGCCCTTTCTGTGTAATCTGACTAGAAACACCGGAAAGCTGTAAAATGAGGTGCTCTGCTATCCGTGGAAACTTATCACCAAGGTAAGGAGAAAACCTAGTGACTCCAGGTTCACCTCCCCCACTGGTGACTCCAGGTTCACATCCTGCACCAGAGACACCAGGTTCATTTTCCCCACTGGTGACTCCAGGTCTGCTTTCTCTCTGGAGACACCAGGCTTACCTTCCTGACCAGTGACACCAGGTCCACCTTCCCCACCAGTGACTCCAGGTCCACCTTCCCCACCAGTGACTCCGGGTCCACTTTCTGCATCAGACACACCAGGATCACCTTCCCAACCAGTGTCCACCTTCCACATGAGTGACTCCAGGCTCACCTTCCCACCAATGGCATCAGTGACATACTGCTCCACTCCCCACTGTGACACTTCTGATCCCTTACTTGCCAGTGTCACAAGCTTCCCTTTTCCAGAAGGGAAATCCAGGCCTTCCTTCCCCACTGCAGTGAGAGGGCAGAGACCCCAGGAAGCCCCTCCCATTACTACTTCCCTAAGCTCCCCTTAGAGACCCTGCTAAGTGATAGCCCCTCTCACAGAAGTGTCCCAGCCAGTTGACCGAAATTCATCTATCCTTCCCATGAATGACTCTGACTCTAGAAGAGAGAATATTGTGAGCCAGACAGTTCTGTTCAAGCCATCCCCATTTCCTGGTGCTGTATGTTTAGTCTAGCATGTGGGGGGAAGTTATTTATCAGAGGATGGTGCAGGTGGCTCAGTCTTTGGACCTTGAGTGAGCTGCTGAGGAAATTGTCAATCAGGGCCTGGCCATCTGCAGGGCCACATTGTCCCTCGTGTTTCTACTACACCAAAAGATGCTGGCAAGCCTCAGAATTCCTGAGGATAATGTGAAGCCCCCACCCTGGAGCTCCAGAGACAGCAGGCCTAGAGAGAGGCTGGAGATTATGCATTTCTAGCCAGTTCCAGGAGATGGGGATGCTGCCAGTCAAGACAACATGCTGAGAACCACAGAGCAGCACAAATGCCAAGGTCTTTGAGCTTCCCCACTTCCCCTGGGGGTGAGTGATGTCTTAGTCTTTCCCATCCACATTGCAGCAGGGTTTGGACAACAGCCCAGGGGACTAGTAGCAAAGGCCTGGTTTGCAGGGGGTCAGTAGGGGTTTTGATTATTCTCAGATTCCTCCCACTTGGATCACATATCCTTTTATATGCCTTGCTCAGGGCTGGCAACTGCTAGACACAGCACTGCCCTTCTTCCCAGGGCCGTAGGAGCTGCCATCCAGGAGCAAAAGAACCCCAGGCTGGTGTCAGTGGACCTTAATGTCCTCAACTCTTAAATAAGAGGGTTGGGCTTGAAAATCTCTGATGGTCCTTCCTTCCAGATCCTGAGCTAAGCAAATGCTGTGTCATGTTCTCCTTCAGATTCCATCAACCCATGTCTAGTTACTCATTGCCATACAAAATTACCTCAAAACTTAGTGACTAAAACAATGATATGTTATGATGTTTCTTGATTCTTCAGTCAGAAATTTAGACTGGATACAGCTGGACTGCCTCATTTCACTTCCATATTATGGATATCTCCCATATGTTACAACTGGGATAATGAAAACTGAGAATCTCTCTCTCCATCTGTCTCTCTTCACATGGTCTTTCCATGTGGTGGCTTGGGCTTCCTCACAACATGGCAGTCTTAGGATAGTCAAATTTATCCATGGATGCTTGAAGTGCCAAGAGACATTGTCCTGAGTGGAAACTGAAAGCCTTCCTAAGATATAGACTCTGAAGTCTCAGAGCATTATTTACATCACATTCTATGGGCCAAGCAATTCAGAAAGGTGGGTGACTAGATTCCCACCTTTCAATAGAGAAATTCCCATCTATCAATAGAGAAATTGCAGAGTATGGTCATGTTTAATCTACCACAATCCACCTCTGAGTCAACCTGTAGCCGAGGTGGATAGGCCCCCGTATCCTGATGACATCCCACCTCCAGCCTGCTCTGCATCATTGCCTGAAGCCTTTCCTGGGTGTCTCAGGAGCTTGTGCATGTGTGCAGGTGACCCAGAAGTGCCAGCTGTGTAATTCAACAAAGGCATCAATGGCATCCTCAGCCAAGGGGTAACAAGAGGGAGTAGATAACCTCAGGATCCTATCTTATGTCAGGATGATTTGGGGCAAAGTGTAGGTCACAACTTGGAAGATCCACTGGGGACTGAGCCCAGTTGCCCCAGCAGCGACCTCTTCCTGAGTACACCCTTTGGGGCCTCCTCTCCATTCCTGTCTTGCATTTCCTCTCCCTGCTTGGGCCTCCCAGATCACCACCCAAGTAAACCACCTCCTCTTGAGTCCTTGTTGCAGCATCTGCTTTGGGGGACACATAAATAAAGATGAAAGTTTGGTCTGGGGATCTGGAGAAGGCATGTAGCCAGTGTCCAATAAGTGTTAGCAGTTGTTACTATCACTGCATTCTGGAAATGCCTTATATCATATCATGGTTAGTTTTATAACCCAGTTGTAGAAGATTCCAAAGAAATGTAAGGACCTGATTCCTAGACAGATTTTTATACTGAAACTGTGCTTGTACCTGTCTAATGCTTAGCCCTCCAAGATCTGAGAGACTTCACCTTCCTTGTGTAAACCACCTGGCCACCTGTCGCTGTGAATCACCGTCCCACGGCTTGTGTGGAATGTGGTTAATGTCATGGCACCATGACGACAGCACTTCTCAGGCTTGCTCAGTGGAAGAGCCCTTGAGGTGGAACACTGGCAGACTCACGGTCAGCATGGCGGCCTCCCCAGTTAGTGGCCACAATGTCTTTCCGTGGTTTCTTTTTCCTAGGAGAGGTACATAGATATACTATATCCTTGTTGTTGCAGAGCTAGCTTTTATTGAGTGCTTGCTTATCAGACAGCTAAAGTGCTGAAGGCCTTCATGAAGATTATCTCCTAATTTTTACAATGCCTCCCTGACATTTAATAGAAGAGGAAAACAAGGCTTAGGGAAGCCAAATACATTGCTTACTGGATTCAATTTTCCAGCACAACCTCCTTCTCCTGATTCTGTTCCCACAACCTTTGGTTCCCACTGACGTCTAACACACATTCACATTTGCACACATATACACATCCTCAGTTTCTCTCTTACATCCCTTTAGACACTAAGAAGGGAGTTTTTGGCTCACAATGGTTTTGCTCTGAATTATTCCAGCTTTCATTCTTAAGCCATGCTGCTCGATTTTGGAGATGTTATACCAGAATTCAGTGGAACGTGGGGGCAAGGAAATATCAGAAGGACAGTGAGAAGTGCCATCCCAGCAGAGTACCAAGGAAAGGGTGAGCAAGTGGTCTGCCCTGGTGTGGGCTAGAAGGGGGTTCATCATCCGTGGGGGATTTTAAAACAATAATAATACCAAGTACCAATGAGCCCGCTCTTTGTCACTGCACACTAGGAATTCCCCACAATGTCAATCATGACATACTGTTTTCCCCTAAAATCATTTCTGGTGAGAGTTCTGAAGAATTGCTGCAGTTACTAGAGCTTCAGTGATAGGTACATAAGCTTCAAGTGAGCATGAATTCATTACTGATCCTTTAATAAACACCATGTCAGTTCAGAGAACTCCCAGCAATACGGTCACCTCTGACACACAGGGACTGAACTTCCACAGGCACATCTCGAGAGACCTTTGTCAGGGCCCTGGATCATTCAGACTCACTTCAAGCACTGTGGGGTCCTCAGCCCTGAGGAGCTACACATTCCTGTTCCTGCATGGAAGCAGCAGGTATGACCTACGCAGCAACCATGCAGTGAAGGTACAGAAGAAAGACAATGGAGTTCCTTCAGTGTGACCACTTGGAATCTGCATTTGTGTTTAAAATCCCAGACAGTGACTTAAGGTTAGAACTTCGAGGTGCACCATTTTATTTGGTAAGTTCGGATTTTAGTTTATGCATATTTATTTCATGTCATAATTATGACTGACAATAATTTCGTCTTATAGAAGAGAGGAGTGTTGGCAATTTTCTGCTCAGGTGTCAGGTATGCCAGGTCTGCCTGCTACATCACACTATAACTGGGGCAGAAATTCAGGCCCTTGTTGGGTTTTGTTTTTGCATACAGTTGTCCTTCACCTGAAAAGCAGATGATATATTACACATACTCTTACGTTCTCTCTTGCTGAGATGCAGATGTCCCTTGTGTGCGTTCTCTCTTGCTGAGATGCAGGTGTCCCTTGTGTGTTGTTAAACTCTCACAGCATATGCGTTATGGAAAGTGTACATCCTGGTCAAGCCCATAGGAAAGGCATTAACCCATTGACACTTCTGAAATCTTCTGTCCCTGTGGTTCTAGAAATACAAGAATGACTGCTTGAAAATCTCTAGCCTGGCATCTCCAAGCCCCTGGGAGTTCCTCTGTGCTGGAGACCACAGTCCTCCACAGGACACTCCTCTATGGCCAGCACCATACCCTCTTCCTGCTGAAGCAATGCTGCTGAAGTCTCTAGCTGAGCCCACCCCAGGGCCTGCCCTCAGCCAGGGTCTACCCTATCCTTGAGCTGCTTCCATCCAATGGCTGGTTTAGGAGGTGGTGCATGAAGGTCTAGCCTGGTACATTAGGACAAGCCTGAAGTGCCCCCGGCTGAGCCTTTTCTTGGGCCTCCACAGTTCAAATTCTCTTGCTGCCCAGTCTTGCCTCTTTACTCTCTATGGGGATTGACCCTGGGGGCACCCCTAGTCTACTGCCTATATACAAGTCAGGGGCTGTTCCTGGGAACTCTGTTATGACACATGCCTCCTCCCTAAACCCACACCTTATATGAATTTGGCTTTCTGGCCAGTGCCTTCTTCCACAAATGCACCTGTACGTCCCCATCTGGGTCCCTGTAGCAATCATTGCTGTGCATTGAATATGTCCTTCTGGGTTTGTGGGAGGCTTTTGCTCCTGGCCCTTGTGTATAATAAGCTAGGGACACATATGACATGTGTCAGTTCCAAGCGGACTGTTGGTTACAGCAGCATCATACTGAACATCTGACTGATACAGCTCCTTGGGGTTAGAACCTCCTTCCCTGCATTTTCCGGCCATTTTTAACTCCAAGGTCTGGACAAAATGCGGCCATCTCTATAGACCTCTGAATCCAGCAGGGATCCCATGTTCATCTTTGTTCTCTTGAAGTCCGTCTTCAGGACAGGAAGTGCATCTTAATGACCCTCCATCCCTCACAAGGCCTTGGTCTGAATATAGAGGTAATGCTTGCTGAGAGGACAGGGGGCTCATCAGGACCTGAGCGAGGTGCCCAGGATAAATGATGAATAGGCACATGTGACGTCAGTTTGTCAATAGGAGAGCAATTCCTGATATGGGTGCTAAACATCACATGTCGCATTCCTTTCATCAGCCATAGAGCAAAATCCCTGGACTCTCACTCACCCGCTGAACACCCCACATTCTTAGAGAAAAGAATGATTTAAGTGGGTCTGCAGTATTCTGTAACATATTGTTCTTGGCACCATATCTTTAATACTGATATCGGGTGTTTGCTCCCAGTTACTTCTGCAGGCTCATGTATTGAGCAAATATCAGTATCCTGGAGCCCAAATACTGCTGAAAGCAACTGAAAATATGACAGTGAGTACCATCAATATCAGCCCTAATCAACTTCCAGTTGTATCCAGAATACCAATACTATCATTTCAGCAGCTCTGCATGGGTCTCGAAGGGCAAGTCTGCTATCCCTGCCTTCTGCAGAGGCTCAGGGAGGCTGACCACCTGCAGAGAAACCACAGCTGGAGTGGGGCACCCGCTGGGGGATCCTCACAGAGCAGCGTCCTGCTGTGGGGTAACCGCCCTCTCCTGCCGCTATTCTGCCTTTGCCCTTACTAGTCCTGTTGTCTGACACACTTGACTTTCCTTTGTAATATTTTGAGGAGGACCCTGAGGGTTTCCCTCTTCATTCTGTTCCTGAATTATTTTCCCCCAATTATTTCAGATTATGTATTTGCTTTTAATTATCTTTATGTTGATCATTTATCCTAAAACTCTGTTATATCCATTTATTTTAGCCTTGGTATTTTGATAACACCATTTAAGCCTCAGCTGTGTGGCCAGTTAAATGAGATGAGTCATATCAAACAAGCACATGCTGATTTGTAGGTCTGCCTTCTCACCGACCTGTGGTGGGGCGAGAATAGGGTTCCTGATCTGCGCAGCAGTGCACAAGCAATCTGCCACCCAGGCAGCTTCTGTGACTTCACGAGCAATGACATTTCTGAGACTGATGATGCTTCCTTGACCTAGACATCCTCCTTCACAGTACCTACTTCAGGGGTGACTACTGCTGAGTACAGGAGCTGGGGGCTAGGGGAGATCCCACAGGCAAAGAAGAGAGACAAGTGCAGTCCCAAGAGATTCAGAATGCTCACCCCACAGCCAATCAACACCAGTTCTGGTTGGGAAATCAATGCATCTGTACCCTGAGTTGCATTGGATCCTGGAGAACCAGAGCTCTGCATGATTTCTACTCTCCAGCCAGGGTATTACAGCCAGAACTTGTAATACTAAAAATGGCATTCTCTAAACTCCCTTGCAGTTAGATTCTGGGCCTGATTTTATTCCATTTTGACTAGGTGCATGTGTTTTCCATTTACAAGGTAGTGCGGCTGTGCTTCGCTGTGTCTGCTGTTTCCATTGTTAAGCACAGAGGAGAGGTCCTGGTTTTCTGCAGCACTTTTAGCAAGAGGTCCCGATTTCTGGGCAGTGGCTCCATAAGTGTCAAGAGCAGGGCTTGGAGCAGCCATTTTGCTGGTGAGCACATAGCAGATACATAGTTCTGGGGCCTTTTTTTGATTCCTAGCTCCTAAGTTAAGGTATTCCTGAAGCACTTGGTTGTGGTTGATTTTCCAATTTCCTAATTGTAATAAAGGTGGGTGATCTGAGAGCCAGAGGAGGCCCAGCATCCTTTCTCCCCAACCATTATCCAACTTCCTGCTCAAAGCAGCTGTAGGACACCATGGGTGGAGTTATCTGGCACATCCACTGAGCTGCCTAGAGTAGCTCTATGCACATTGGAATGTGAGATTCACTTGGGGAGGTGGCAAAATGTTATGGAAAATATTAGTAAAATTTATAGTTTATAATCTCAAACCTTTTGGAAGGCCAAAGGTTTTATTGGGGCAGGCCAAAGGCAGCTGTCGGGTCCATCACTAGGGAAGAGATAGGGATGATAAGAAGCTTTCCCAGCTGAAGTCTGCTTACTCCACATCCCTTTGTCTCTGCTGTTTAATCACATAAACTTTGTGCTGGATGGTCTTCTCAGGGGGAGATCAAAAGGGAATTACCTGTTAATAGAGTTTACTCTGGGCCCAGAACCTAAAGCTTTTATCATTCATAAAACCTCTCTGTCAATCGTGTTAATTATCCACAAGTGTGTTGACTTAGAACCTCTCTTATGAATAAATGTGTGGATGGACAGAGGGTCTTGGTCAATCCTACTTAGAACCTCTCTTATGAATAAATGTGTGGATGGACAGAGGGTCTTGGTCAATCCTACTTAGAACCTCTCTTATGAATAAATGTGTGGATGGACAGAGGGTCTTGGTCAATCCTACTTAGACCCTCTGTTAGGAATAAATGTGTGGCTGGACAGAGCGTCTTGGTCAATTGGTTGCATTTCACCCTCTGAAAGCAGCCAACAGCCATCCCTAGCCCACTTGTACCACCGTTATGGTGTAAGTATGCATTTATTCATCTGTCGTTGAGTCAAGGTCTGTAGGCCAGACTTCCGCAGGTGGTGGGTAATGTCTCAGTGGAACACATCTTGAGTGAATAAACGATGCATTTATCTGGAGGACTCTTCAAAAGAGGCACATATCTCATGAGTTGGTAAGTCTCTATGCACAAGTCACAATAAATTGGAAGCACTAGTCTTGGGAATGTTCTTTATTATTAATAATAGGAATGTCTTCATTGGCTTTTAAAAAACTTTTGGAAGGTGAGTATTAGGTGGAATCAGATTTGCTGTCCTGTCCCTGAAATTTGGCCTTTCTTTCTCCTTTCTCTCCTCTATATTAGATTATTTTCTAACTAGAGCACAAGGGCACCCCATGGATTTAATTACTTGGAACCATATTTCCTTTCATTAAAGGGATTTACTTTAAGTCCTAAACAAGTTTGACATTTAGCCTGTGTACTTTAAATAACAAGTGATTTTCTGTGTTCTCCAAGGTTACTACAATAAACATGTTATCTGCAGGTTTTAAGTGTAAAAGGTTAACATAATCTCTATGCACCCCTTGCTTCCCAAGGAAATATTTTTGCATACACAATTATACACAGATATACAAAGTATAGGCTTTGTTTTACTTTATCTTTACACAAGATAAAGTAAAACAAAGCTTACTATTTAGAAAGCTTACTATTCTGTAACATTTAGTACATCCTGAACATCTTTGCTTAGCAGGACAGACAATGAAAAGCCAGCAGAATAGCAAGGATCTGTTGAGCATTTCTCATGCGCTGTGTGTTAAACTAAGCCCTTAAGTGGATCGACATCTTTGATCTACATAGCAGATAGGAAGTTGGCACTTTGAATATCAAGCCTGCTCTCTTGGAGAAGGTTATGCATGTTAACCCACCTGGCCCCTCCTCCTCACACTCTACTCCCTACTTTCTGGAGAGAGTCTGTTTTTCAGGGCTTTCTTTTGGCTTTAAGAATATTGCCCACAATGACTAAAAGTAAGCCTTCTCTTTTCCAAGACTTGTGTTTCCTATGCTATGATCCTGTTTTACCACACTCCTTAGCACTTCCTGAATGACGTAGTGAACCAGAGCATCTTTGTCTTGTTCCTGCGAGGCCTGGACCAGCTGCCCCAGATGAAGCCCAGCCTCAGGGCGAAGCTGCCCAACAAGCTTCCAACTCAGAGGAAGCCACAGCTTGAGTTGCCATTGATGTTGCCATTGGCCCAGGGGTGAGTTAGTACCACCTAACATCCCCTCAAGAGGAGACCCAGCCTCCTGCATGAGAATGGAGTAATCCTGGGAGATGGTATCTCCCTGAACATAGACAGGACCTGGCAGTGAGGTCCACAGTGCCTGACCCCTGTGAGCCAGTGCCTCCAGAACCTGAGACTTCAAGTCATTGCCCACTGGGGGATGGACTGAAGCACATCTCAAAATTCAACCAGATTTCCAGCTGGAGGTCAGGGGAATCTAGAAACATTAACTGCCTCCCCCATTAAACAGATGCATTTATTTTTGCATTTATTGAATTAATTTACAAAATGATGCTCTCTTGAGGGAAGCATTCCCTGGAGCTTGCAAATACCAACGAATACCATGTAGTTAGTATGCATTCAACAGAAGCAGTCATGTCAGGGTTATATTAGCACCAACCAAAGAATACAAACATCCAGACTTTTGAATTCTCCAACCTCGAAAACCTCTGTGATTTTCTGTCTTTTAGGACTCATCTAGATAGGAAAATTCCTGCCAGAAGTTTCTGTGCAGCACATTCCTGAACTTCCTTCAATAGTTTAACGTCTTTCTGAGGTTTCTGGTGTCAGTCCTTAGGGCCGACTGTTACCACCTTGAATCCAAGGGGACTGTTTTGGAGGAGAGGATGGGGGACCTAGTTGCATCTTCCTCGTAGTGGGACCAGTTAGTCTAATGTGTTTTTTCAGTCTTCTATATGGGAGAAGCACCTGTGGAGCCCAGTATTCAGGTGTTTCTGAAACTGCTCCCTGTGAATGAGGGCATCTGCCCGCCTCCAGTGTCCCAATCCTGCCTACTCCCTCTCTCCTCTTCTGATGAGATCTTTCAGCAAATCAAGGCTGGGGCTTGACAAGCAACTTCCCAGTCATCACCAACTCTCTGTATTTTAAGGTCTCCATCCACACTGCTTGCCCTGAAAGGAAAAGAAGCTACGCACTTACCCAATGAATCTAGAAAGAACCTGTTACTCTGCTCTTGTGCTATCTGGGTAAAACTGATCAAACAGCACATTTTTCTGAGGCTAGGTTTGCTTCCTTTCTTCCTTTTCTGTTATTGAAAAAGTTTGGTGTGGTTTCTGTTTCTACTTACTTTTAAATTTTTTAAATTATTGACACATAACTGTACATACTTATGGGGTACAATGAAATTTTTTTTGAGATGGGGTGGCACTCTGTCACCTAGACTGGAATGGTGGCATGATTACGGCTTGCTGCAGCCACTAATTCCCAGGCTCAGGTCATCTTCCCACCTCAGCCTCCTGAGTAGCTGGGACTATAGGTGCACGCCATTATGCGTCACTAATTTTCATATTTTTCATAGAAACAGGGTTTCACATGTTGCCCAGCCTGGTCTTGAACTCCTGGACTCAAACTATCCACCTGCCTTGGTGTCCCAAAGTGCTGGGATTACAAGCATGAGCCACCGCACCCATTCTGACGCTTTAGTATATGTGCGCATTGTAGAATAATTAAATCAAGCATATTAGTATATCCATCATCTCATATACTTGTCATTTTTTCATGGTGAGAGCATTCAACATCTACTCTTTAAAAGCAATTTTGAAATATATGATACATTATTATAACCAGAGTCATCATGCTGTCCAGTAGATCACTGAAACGTTTCCTCCTGTCTAACTGAAACTTCGCACTCTCTGACCAACATCTCCTTTTCTCCATCCCCTCTTCCTCATTCGTTCCTTAAATTATTTGGACAATAGCAGCTGTTTTGGCCTGAAAATGCCCACGGAAGCATCCGTGCCTCACACCAGCTAGTAGGAATAAGTACAGGAAACCACACAACTGACCATCAGCAGTGGAATGTGTAACTGAGTCATGGTCTGTTCCAACCAAGGAATGATACAAGATGGTGTAAGAAGCTGACGATCTGCAGTGCTCTGAGACAATGTGTATGAGAATCTTGCAAAGTAATTTGAGCCAAAGAAGCTGGACAAAAATGGTACAAATTGTATTATTCTGTTAATACTAGGTATAAAATCCAGTGGACCTAGGCTATGCTGTCAGAACTGAGGACAATGATGGGCCCAGTTGTAACCAGGAAGGGGGACATGGGGGGCTTCTATGTGTGGTGTGGGTGACCCACTGTTCTTGTTGAGAGGCTGGATACATGGACATGCTCAGTTTGTGAAAATTCAACAAACTGTATGTACACTTAGGAAAGGTGCCGCATTTATGTGTGTGTGTATGCATGTGTTTAGATACCTTAAATGTGTATCTATATACCTTAATTTTTTTTTTTTGACACAGAGTCTTGCTCTGTCACCCAGGCTGGAGTACAGTGGCACAATCTCAACTCCCTATAACCTCCACCTCCCACGCTCACTGCAACCTTCTGCCTTGGTCTCCTGAGTAGCTGGGATTACAGGCACATGCCACCATACCCAGCTAATTTTTGGATTTTTTTTTTTTTTTTTTTAGTAGAGATGGAGTTTCACCATGTTGGCCAGGCTGGTCTCGAACTTCTAACCTCAAGTAATCCACCCACCTCGTCCTCCCAAAGTCCTGGGATTACAGGCATGAGCCACTGCGCTCAGCCCTTAAATTTTTTTTTGAGATAGCTTCTTGTTCCGTTGCCCAGGTTGGAGTATAGTGGCGTGATCATAGCTCACTGCAGCCTTGACCTCCTGAGCTCAATCAATCTTCCCACCTCACCGTAAATTTAAACATGAAAAAGAGCAAGGGCAATTCTGCTGTTGGGCATGCAGACATTAAGCTCCACGGGGTCTTGTAAAGGCAGAGCTGTCTTCAGACACCACTGTCCTTGGCTCACGTCCCTTGCTGCCCTGTGCTCTGATCCCTGTGTCCCTTCCCAGAAGATGTGAGTGTTTTGCTGAGGGATAGGAGGGCCTGGCACTTGGTGGAGGCTGCCGGCCCTGGTCCTCAAACTGGGATGGGATCCTTAAGAGCTTTCACTACAGTGTCATGGCTCTGAAGCTTCCAAGAAGACAACAATTAAAAAGCATGTTCGTGTGGTGGATGTTGTTTTCAACATGCCAGAACAATGGGAACCCCCAAGAGCATGTGGACTTTTGAAGAGGGGTATCCAGGGATTCTTTTAGAATGTATTCCAAAGGACAAAGAGATCAGAGTTTATGAGATCAGAGAGATCGAAGACCTGAGGGTCAGTGCTTGGTCCCAGGGTCCTAGGAGGAGAGAACCCCAGGAAGAGGAGGGAACATCGCAGAGCCGAGGAAACAGGCTCCCAACTTGCAAACTTCTAGAAGTTATAGTCCAGGATTAAAAAAATCATTATTAATACATTTGATTCATGTAAAACTGACCTTTCCTGAGGAAGAAATTCAATTTACCTCTTAGAAACTCTTTAAAAAAATCCTCTCTAGACAAAAGAAGACAAACCGATTCAAAACTTCCACTTCCTCATTTCTTTGCGGAATCTCAAGTGCGCTTAAGGAAGAAAAAGAACACACACACGCACTGAGACACACAGATCTATTTAAAAAACAACAGGTATTTTCACATTGGTGCTGTGACCTATTTCTGGATCAGAAACTGGATTGCATGTCCACAAAGCCATCTCCCCACCTGGTGTTTGCTCTGCACAGCGGTTTGGAAAGAACAGCCTCGGGGTGTAACAGAAAATGCATCTTTTCTTCTTTTTTTATGATCGAATGCCACCAGTTTACTAATTTACAGCATCTACTTTTGTATTATATACAGAGGCCAAGATTGGAGCTTAGCCCAGTCTTTTCTGGAAATGGTTCTTTTGAAATCAGCAAGTCCACTTAAATAAAAGGAACGTTACTCTGCCTTCCCTTGTGATTTGCATCCTCATTTTCATTTGCAGCTTTCTTTTCCAAGACTTTGTCAGGAAACTGCTAATGGGAGTTCTGCTGCCACTGAAGAGTGTGGTGGTGCGTAAGTTCCTGTGAGTCCGTCTGCCGTGAGGACCCTTCCATATGTAGAACCATGACAAAATAAATATTTAGAAAGCAATTTCAAAGAAGTTGAAATCTAGATATCCTCAACAGGGATAATATAGAGCTTGAAATACGTGTGCAGATCACCTGGTTCATTAACTATTGAGGCATGGGTTGTGAGGGTCCAGGATCGCTCATTCCAGCAATCACAGAGAAGGCCTGCTGCATGGTCAGGCTGCAGAGGGAGCCCCAAGGGTCCAAATGGACACCTTTAGGGTTGCAGGGCACCTCTGCCTCAATTACTGCCATTCCACTGCGGATTTACACACTACATTTCTACAAATAAAATTTTATTTTACAACATTTATCAATGCTAAAAAGAGTTGAAAACCGCTGATGTATTTGAGGCCCTATTTGTCAAGTAAAATGGTACTTGAGCAGAGAGAAACATGACTGGTGAGGGATTCTCAAACAGGAAGATAAGGAGATGAGAGCTGTGAAACATGTGAGCAAAATGAACGTTATGAAACAGTGGCATTCAAACTCATCAAACGGAACTCTCCCTGCTCAAGGAAACAGCTAAACACAGCAGTTTAAAGTTTTAAAGGTGATCATGTGTAATATGAGAAGACTAGAGAATGTAAACTATCCATGAAACAAGAAGAAGCTGTTATGAAAAAGAACTATAAAACTTTGAAATTTACAAGATGATTGTTAAACCTCAAAAAATAGGCTCAATAGCAAAACAGACTTGATTGAAGAACGAATTAGTAACTGAAAGACCACGGGGTTCTTGTAGAATGTCATTCATGGGGACAAAGAAATAAAGTAAGAGACAATCAACACATGAGAGGGAGCGAGATGTTTCTCTACGTATTTACTAGGAGGAAATAGTTATCTCCAGGAGGAGAGAACAGAGAGACTTAAGGGAGGAAAGTAATTAAATAACTGATGGAAGAAAATTGATCAGAACTTTTCCAGTTCAAAAGCAGGGCCGGCTTCCTGGGCATGTGGCCTCCGGGGTCACATAAGGCTCTGAGCTCTGAAGGACTCTATGCTTGTCTGATACTCATCTGTTGCCATCTTGAAATGCTTAATAATTTGATCTTTAAACTTGAGCTTTGTCAGTGAAGTTCGATGGGACCACAAACCATGTGCATATGCAGAGACACAGGTAATATATACGTCCCTGTTCCTTGCTGCTTCATTCACTTTCCCAAGACCCAGGCACACAGAATTCCAGTGGATTCTGGTGGAGTTCAGCAACACTGAAGGTGAGGAGAAGGTTAAGCGTGCTCATCCACTGAAGGAGAGACACATAGACAGCCCCACCAAGCCACATACGATCTGTTGGAACCAGACCTTGCTTCAAATGCCTAAAGAAGGCAATGGCCTTCTAAGAAACAGAACAGTGAAGGCACCCTATCCCATCCCTTCTTACCTGGGCTACTTCTCTCTGTTAGACAGCCATGAACCCTGAAAATGATGACGTACAGGGAAAGATGAGCACAGTGCAACTCAGAGCTCCTGTCCTTCAGTGCTTTCTCCCTCATCAGTCACCCAAAGGGAAAGGGTGCTGGTGCACGAGCAGGTAGCAAGAAGTAAAATACAAACAGTTGAGCTGCATTTGAGCAGCATCGCCACTGTTATGGTAAAAAATGAAACACACATGCATGCCCGAGCTACATAACACAAACCGTAATTTCAGTGATTCCTCATGTGAGTTAAACGCTTTGTATTTGCATCTAAAACTAGCATTGCACAAATGATAAAATTTATGCTAATACTTTAAAATGTTAACTTTACTTGGAATGAAATTAAATAACATGAAAAACACAGCACATCAAGAAAGAGACTGTGGAAGAGAAGAAAAAACTGTATTTTAGCATCGCTAGGCCTTTTCTCTGCTTTTTAAACAGGAGTTCCATGCTTTAGTTTAGTACTGGTTTCTGCAGATCAGATGACCAGTTCCATTTACAAGGGCTCACCAATGCATGTCAGAAAGCATTTTTAAAAGATTTATTTTGGAACTTCAAAGGTAAAGAGAAGTTTTTGAAGTTTCCAGAGAGAAAGAAGGGTTAATTTACAAGAAATGAAGTGCCTGAGGCCAGCAACACAGAGCTGGGTCAAGAGCTCTGGGGCTCTTTGAGCACAGCTAACCGACTGTGGCTGGCCAGGGCTGGTGTGTGGCTCAGGGCTTCTGAGTTAGCTCATCCTGTGTCTTATTTGGTCTGGAAACCAAAGGCAGGTGGAGCGGATAGCAGCTGGGCACACAGGGCTGGTTGTGAAATCCCGGGGCATCTCCTGGGAGCTTGTCTGCACAGAGCTGGCAGGGCCAGTGTTGGAGCCAAGCCAGGTTCCTGGAACGTGCGTGGACACAGTTTGGCAAGGTGGTGGGCTTCAGCATGTGAGGACAGGAGGAACACAGTGTTCCTGAGCTCTGCTCCTCCCAGGCTGGGTGCCATGGAAGGCTCAGGAGGCTGGAGAGGGTGAGTGGGCCAGCACTGGAGCACGCCATGGGCTGCTTCGAGGGTCAGGTTTCCTGTGTCAGTAGACAAGCA